CAATTCCACTAGACAGTCGTAATGATTACCACATGATTTTCTTCTGGAAAACTGTGTATATCTTTCAAAATATAGGTTTCTACGTAGAATGATGAAAGTTTTGCATGAAAAATTACTTCATTTTTCGGTGTCGACTGGTTGAGAGCAGCTGCACCGATGCCTAACTTTTTCAGCTGATGCAACTGATCTTCAACAAGAGCGACCAACGGTGATATAACTAATACAATACCTGTAAAAGGTATTAAGTGTAAAACCAAAGAATGTGTTAAAAACCCAATCTCAGCAATACAAACTCTCAAACCTTTCATAACAACAGCAGGTAACTGGTAACAAAGACTTTTGCCACTCCCAGTACTCATCACGACTAAACAATCTTTTTTCGATAGTACCGCATTGATGACAGCTCTAAAGCAAAAAGCATTCAACTAATTACTTTTGAAACTTTTAACACAGCATTTTTATTTTTGCTTCTGGTTGTTCTGTTGCTACCAAATTAGCAAAAGAGCAGAAAATCACTTCAATCTAAACTGAAACCTTTGTAAAGAGCGAAATTCATCAAGTTTGAAAATACTGTGCAATGCGAGACGACATTCCTGAATCCAATCAAATTTATCAGAATCCCAAATTCCAAGTGCGCTTTCTTTCTCCACTTTCCTTCTAGTAATAAGCTTCTCGATCTATAAACAGAACTGTACCTGAAGCAACTTTATGCATGCATACATTTTAATTTATGGTACCAAATTTGGCAAATCTCAGTGGAGTATATGGCACACTGACCTTGCTAAGATGAAAAATGACCAAACATGTAACAAGGAAATGACCATATACATACATGAATATAGTATGTCACTTGATCTGTACCTATAAGTAAAATCCAACTCCGGCCTCCGTTACTCATTTCTAAATCTAACGAAGAATAAACACAACAACCTCATTCTTTCTTTGCAGCAATAACTGGCGCTGAGCATTCAATGAATGTATTTGAGCATCGATATTTCCAAGCTGCTCATCTAATTCCGATAATTCTCTGCATAGCTCTGATTCGTGTGACCTTGTCGAATCCATCATGTCGAATCCCCTGAAACGATCAACTGAACACCGATAGAACAGTAAAATATTCATAACTTGACTCTCAAATTACTGTTCTTAGCCTCCAATACTGCTAATTCTATTAAAGAATAGATCTGAATAGATGAGATGGAACCAACCGCTAAATACCATAGGGCTCAAAAAGGAGGACATAAAATGAATGAATATTTGCAGTACAGAAATGCTTGCAGCAGCTAGTTTGTATTTGTGTAGTACGGTAGTTGTGGAGATCGTGCGTAGTACCGGTGTTCGTAATACCGTTTCCGGTCATATATGGTACTCGCATCAGACTCGCATCGTTCTTGCAAATTACGGTAGAACACATTGCCAGTTATAGTATGTGAGAGTGAGTTCATGCATTTGTGATGCAAAATGGAAGAGAGAAGCTGTCAGAAACAATTGAAGTAAATTTTGAGTTTGCAGTTATGAATCTCCGT